TTTCACCCTGGTGCTGTTTAGGACCTGCCCAAAGCAGGTCCCCCGTCTGGGCAAGGGCAGGAGTGGATGTGTCCCCTGTGTGTTGTAGCTGTGTGCAATGACCACCAGTCTGGCCTTGCCTTCCAGCTCTTGGGTGAAGGGACTCGGATGGGCTCTTCCCATCTGTGTCAGCCTCATCTGTCTATTAAACACGGGGTGTATGAGCTCCCATTTCAGTCCTAGTTCAGCTCTCTCCTTCCCAGTCCATACAACTCCCACTATTCACATCATCATCACACAAATCTGTTGTGCTCAAGCCACATGAGGCTTTTCTATGAAAATTTAATTATACACTTGAGTGTGATTCAGTCAGTAGAGACAGAATTGATATAATTTCAAGTTCAAAGTGACTTTGTATCATGTAACTTTGCTGTCCTAAACTAGCTCTCCTAGTCCTATTAACATCCATTGAAATGTCTTCAACAGCACTCCACCATGCTCTGACTGCATTGCAAAGTTTACTGGCTGTTCGTGCAAATCACGAGCTTTTAAAGAAGAATTTTAAGATTTTCTTATTATAGTCAGACTTCAGATCATCTGCTAATTGTCTCCAGATATTAAAACCATTTTCTGACTCAGACACTAACTAATTTTAAGCGACAGTTCATGAGTGAAGTATTCTTTTATTAAAGCCCCCCTTCCCTAAGTGGCTGTATTTCCACCCAAATTGTGGCTTAGAAATGTTTTCCTTTATTTGAAGATTATGCTTTTGAGTGTGTCCAAGAGTTCCTGGCAAACATCATTTACTACATATTAACACAAACCTACCTCTTTTCTAGTTCTCTCCCCTTTGTAGATGTCTACACTGGAAAAAGGTTTTTGAGGTGTGACATCGCTGCTCCAGTGCTCATTACTGTTTAGCCAACTGAGCTAGAAATACACAGCTATTTCACTAGCCATATTCCCAGAACATAATTCATCATCACAGTCTATCCAGTGGCAATGCTTTGTTAAGCTCCCTCATTTCCAGCAGCTCCCAACTCCCTCCCTCACAGTTTACTTGCAGAGCTGTGCTACAAACCAAGCCAGTGAAATGTTTCATGTCAAATCCCAAATCCCACAACGTACTGCATTACATGTTTAAATCCAAACCACTTACTGATACAGGTCACCCGTGCTAGAAAGCTTCCCTGCCACAAGTGAGATGTTAGTGGAGGGTAGCATAGGACTGAAATGTCATAAATTAGAGCAGGGAGATGAAGCTATACCTTTAATTATCTCTTCTTTGTCCCTACTTTCTTGCTTTATTTTATTGCTTCCATTTTCATGTAAATACTTCAAAACAAAACCAAACAAAACCAAAAGTTGTCATCCTCCCCATCCTCCCTGAAATGTTCCACATGAAACACGTGCCAAGCTGAGCAGAAATAGCACTGCAGACATGTTGCTGGAAAAGTATCCAACTTTGAGTTCCTGCTAGGAGTATTTACAGGTACTGGATAACACCTCTAGGCCCACCCAAATAACTCTAGTTTCTAGTCCTGTAAGCATCACGCACCTCCTCTGTTAATACTGTGCCAAAGGTCTGTGGGTCAAATTAATTTAAATATACACCGCAGTAAAGAATATTTTCCCAGCTACCAATTTATTAAAATAATCTTAAACAAATAATTACAATTGGTAAAATGGTCCTTTACCTGGTTTCATTTTAGGTCATACAGAAACAATGGGAGTGTTTGTTTAAAAAAACAAAACAATACAATAATTTTTTTCCATTCTTCCTTTTTTCTTCCTCCAAACTTTATTCTGAGATGGCGGGCTAGGTTCTGATTTAATTTATGCTACTCTAAGTCAAGATTTCACAGAGTTGTCTACAAGTTACTGAGCAGGTAATTAAGGTGTGATTTCAGAGTACTTTTATCTGTTCTGCATCAGCCCCCCATAGTCATTCCTAGAGAGCAGCATACCATGTTTGTGTCAGCTCACTGCCAAAGTTTAGCAAAATACACTGTGTTTGGCTGGTGGTAAGGACTCCCAGGAAGGCAGCCACAACCTGCCTCAGTGTAATGTGCTGCACACTGATCCCTTGGCTTACTTGGGCAGAGACAAGCCCCTCTACTGTCCACCTCTGCTGTAAATCACCACACTGCTTTCGAACCCAGCACTCCTCCGATGCAAATCCCAGCTGAGTCTCTCGAAACCTCCCCTCTAGCCCAGATTAGTCTAGACAAAAATATATATGTAATACACATATGGTAGCTTAAATTAAGGTCTAGGAACCTAAAGCCCATGGGCTGCTCACAGCCAGAGCTTCATTTCACATGGACCACAAAAGATTTTCCTTTCCTCCTACAGCCATGCACTGGCATCCAGGGAAGATGCCAAAGTGGCCCAACATCACTGACAGCAATTACAAACCCTTCCCCCGGATGTTAGAAAATGTTCATGGCCCACAGTAACACTGAAGGGGAAATATTATCATAGCAAGGTCCCCACAATACCACTCTGCAAATTACTCTGAGAGAGTCTGAGTCTATTGTGGAAGCCCCATAAAATCGACCAATGAACATCAGCACTGGTAACCTCAGTGTCATTACTTTTTTCTCCCCCTCCGCACATATTGCTGCTTTTCCTTTTCTTTTTCACACTTTTGCTGTCTCTAACACCTTCTCACAGTTGTCCTTTCTGCCCTGATACACCATTATTTGAGTCATGGGATCCATTCAAATGGGAACCATATAAAAAGGTGCACTGAGACTGGGCCCTCATATTGTTATGCTGAGAACACAGAGAAGAGCTGAACACAAGAAGCTGGAATTAATGTTCATAAATGGAGGCAGTTCTCACAGTGCAACAGCAATCTTCAAGAAATCTTCCACTATACTTGTTGGAGATGCACTTTTTTTATTGGCTAGGCATTTGATCAAAACTGATTTTCCTTTAAGAAAAGACACTGCTCCTCACTGAGTGATAACATCAATGCTACTTCAAACACTTCAAATTTTAGACTTTTCTGGTGTCTTATGACTTAAGCATAAGGAGCATTGAGACAAAGTGGGTACGTGGTTTCACCCACATTTTCATATTCAAATTAGTTCAATTTAATTCTGAATTTTTCCTTCTTTAAAGGCAATTGAACATTAAATAGTACTGTTTCACAGATCCCTCTGCACTGTTTTTCAGGGTATATCTGTTCAATGTTTTCTATGCTTTAGCTATGAAAAAACAAACAAACAAACAACAGAATTGAAAGTAGTATTCATCTCACCTAACTTTATAGACTTGTAAGGGAAGTATCTACAACACTGGAGCTAGGCTCCCTTTGTAGTCCCTGAAGAGAAACAGCCACAAGGCAGGATTCACCTCCAATTTTTAGATGCTCCCCTTGCATGAGATGAATTGCACTCTGAAAGTACTACCTCTGCATTGACTACACTGTGCACTATAGATATCTACAATTGTTCATATCCCTGTCTCCTTCAATATAGAGTTTTTCACATCTACTTACAACCTGTCCATTCAAATTTCAAGGCTTCTGAAGCAAGGACTTCCTTCATACACACATGCAACAAACAGGATAACACTGTCATAGCTAGTGACATGGTTTAAATAACTGTATTGGAAGCCTAGCTCAAAAACTAATGTAAAAACCCAACAATAATTTAAAAAAAAAAAAAAAAAAAAAAAAAAAAAAAAAATTTTACAACCCCAAAGAAGAAATTCCTCTTGTGGTTTTTTTCACAGCCATTGCACGCAACACAACTCTGAAAGGCCAGATATGGTGGGCAATCAAAAAGAAAGCTTTGTCTGGCTTACAAAGTCCCTCCTTGTTGTGGTTACGGACTCTGATCTGTTACAGCAGCAATAAATTTTGTTCATGGCCTTCAGCTTTTACAAAGAAGGTGAAAGAGGAACAACTATCATGTTGTCTCCAGTCTTTAATTAAAAAAAAAGAAAAAAAAAAGAAAGAAAGAAAGAAAAAAAAGAAGCCTTTTAACAGAGGTGGGGACAAGTGGAGTTCATCTATAGCCAGCAAAGGTTTCTGACTGTATGTTTCTCGAGGCTGAGCTACACTGTCCATCCAGGTGATAGATGGACCCCCTCTTTTCCAAGCTACTCTTCAGAATTTGGAATGGAAGAGCTACCTCTCAGTCATGCCATACATAATTTTGCAGGCAAAACTTGGCTGTTTGGATGTTCTTACTAAGATTCTTCATTACTTATATATTCCCCTTCATTTCAGTCATTACAGCTACTGGGCTGGGCAGTATCATGAGGAAAAAGGGGAGATTTACATAAATACAAGAGGTTTTAGGCAGGAAGGATGTCCTTGGGGAACTAGGTACTAGATGACTTCATAGTGAAAACACTCTTCACAGAACTTCTTCAAGCCATCAGGAGGCAGAAAGCAAAGCAAAACAGTTCGTCAGACTGCCGCACTTGTGTGTAAAAAAATGCAGCTCTCAAGAGTAACCTGAAATTTGTAGAATATTATTACAACAGGTCTTCAGACAACTAGGCATTAAAACCTTTGGAAACAGCTGATGCTTTGCTCACTAAGTAAAAATATAACTAATCAAATCATGTACATCTCAACCCTGACTGCACCACCTACACTTCCCTCTGTATAGAACTACTGATGCACAGTTTTAAACCCCACTGCACCTGACAGTCTCTTCAGCATGCACAATTCTCACCAAAACACAATGTCATTTCAGCTGTATTCAGACTGACCCCTCTTCTCACTCTAACAGCAATATTTTCAAAATAACATTACATTCCTTTGCAGGCTCCCTTTAATTCAATAAAACCTACTCAAGTAAAACCAATCAAGCTGGTGATTTATGTAGTTGTATAGATACAGCTTATTGAGTTTACTCAAATTACTAGGCTACATGTAAAAGCTAAATTTACATAGAAGGGTTTTCTTACACAAATGAATAAATGCTGAAAACAATTTCAATAAAAATTTGCAAAGAAAACAAAGGAGGGGAGAGGGAATAGCAAAGTAAGGTAATTACCTATCTCCCTTTGGTTTTCTTTTTTGTACTGTCTTCCCTTTGGGTCGTCTTTCACTTCCTAAACAGGGGCTCCCACCAGGGCCTGTTACCCGTATTGATTCAAGGCCTTTGGAAGATTTCTTAAAAGTAAATTCCACTGGTTCTCCTTCTTTTAGGCTTCTAAATCCTTCCATGTAAAGCTTGCTCTGTAAATAGGAAAAATACTCTTGGTTACCATTGCCTTAAAAACAATATTACATTCATAATCAACTGGAGAGATTATCCACTCTGCTATTCTAGAACACATACAGGTTGAATAACAGTTTCCCCTGCATGAGCTAAAGCAGCCTATAGTACAAATTATAGTCCTGAATACACTGAAAACACTATTCAACCCTCAACAAAGTAACAAGAACCTATTTTCAGTATCAGCAAAACTGAAATAACATCTTTTCCTTTTCTGTGATGAATGCTATAGATATAAGAAGCAGAGGAAATTATATATTCTCAAAATCTCTGTCTAGCAGAACTGAAAAGGCATTTTTAACAAAATGGAAAGAGAGCAAATGTTCACTTCAGAGCTAATTTGTTTATGATTAAAATCATCATAATTTCTGCTTCTTATATCTCGGACATGGCTCATGGCTCTGCTGCTCTGAAAATGGATCAAAGAGACAAGCAGCACAAGAGACAGGAGGAAGGCACTCTGAAATGGGCAATTCAAATATCCCTAGTGACCTGCTAAATTTCTGTTCACTAACCCCAAAATCTTACCTAGTTAATATGATTTAGGTATGGGTTTGTATTTTCATTCACAGAAAAGGAAATAATTATCATCAGGGCAAGTGAAGTAAATACTGATAAATCTTCTCATATTACACTGTAGAAGCAAAATCTTGGACAAGCTGAAGCCAACAGGAGTTCATCACTGATTTTGATGCAATGAAAATTTTAATCTTTATTTCTAATCAATTACATACAACAGTAAGTCTACATCCCAGACCAAATCTGATCAAACTCTTAAACGAAATTATCAAGTTAAGTGAGACTATTTAGGAGAGGGGTGTAAAATCAACAATAGTTGCACTAAATGTTTATTTTAGAAGTTACACAATACATGAATGAGATCAGACTCACAGAGAATATTACAAAATCCATCAATTTCCAAACACAGCATTTTTGCAGGAGAGTTATGAAACGTGTTTTCTTCCTTTGCTCATTAACACTTTGTAACAAGGAGAAAAACATATCCTGACTGATTCCTACTCTGTTCTCAAGCATTCACATGGCCAAACCATGGAGTCGAGAAGGGAATCTTCACTGCAGGTTCCTGACATCCCACTTGGTCACCTGTCAAAAAGAGCCTAGTGACATTTGACTCTCTAAGTCACACCTACTCCCTGACAAGTGCAACTATGGAACATGCTGGGTGGGCATCCCTGACAGGAGCTCCCTGTAGTCATGTTATGGGTATGGGAGGTCTGCAGCACCGCGACACTACCGTAGCAGAGCACAAGAACCCATCCCTACAGAGTTCAGAGTTCATAGTTCATACCCAAAGAGGGAGCTAGTCTCTTCACAAGGATGCATGGAGAACAGGACAGGAGGCAGCACGCCTGAGCTGTTTCAGGAAAAACTCCATCCAGATGTGAGAAGTTGCTCACTATGAGAAGAATTCAACAGAGAAGCCCAGAGAAATTAAGACTCAGCTTAACAGGGCACTGAATAACCTAAGCCACGTCCCTGCTTTCAGCAAATGGCTGAACCAGATATTCTCAAGAGATTGTCCAACCTAGACTATTCTGTGACTCGGGTATCTTGATCCAGAGCTGAATCACACCTGGTGAGACTGGAAAACAGGATTCCAGCTCCTGGTTCTGCAGCAGTTACCCTGGGGAGCGTCACTAAACTTCGCCCTGTTTTTCTAAAAAGGGACACCACTACAAAGTCCATTGCCCACAGCACTAATAAACTGCATAAAAAAATTATTTTATCATTGTGATTTTTTAAAAAATGAAACCATGTGAAAGCACACACACCTTTGCTTCCAAAAACCCCAACTACTGGACCAGCTGAGTTCTCACAGTTTACCCAGTAGCAACCGTTCATAATGCAACAAGACTCTATCAATGCCAGAGTGACTGCAGGACTCAGTGGATTTTAATTTTTCCAGCAACCAGAAGCAAGCAAGAACACAGCTCCACTGGGTGGGACGAAGGCTGTTTTTACTTATCCAGTTGTGCAGTTCTAGTACATGTGGCTCTTCCACCAAATGTTGTAACAGTGTGAAGCTTTGAAGTCAAATAGTTGACTTTCTAGGTGAGAGGTTGAGCACTATTTAAAAAGGGGAGCGGGGATGTGACATGGTATTAGGAGGGGGACACAGATGAAAGAAGAAATATATAATATCTGCTCCCTGAATCATAAACTTGGCTGTTTTTTAAAATGCAAATACAAGCTATGAAAAAGGAAATATGCAAATTTTCTCACTAATACAATGAAAAGACAGTAATTCTACAAAAAAACAATGAAACAAGTCACTTGGGAAGGCAACACTATTATTTCAAGCAAGCGTCCCACTTTGAAACATCTGTAGAGCAATAAGGGGATTTTTGTCACAATGAAGAAACATCCAAGTTCAGAATATGTGCAAAGAAGACAGCATCACTCATCAACTGAAACAGCACGAATTCATCCCCAGGTCCATCCACACCTCTTCAGTCTTCAGCAGCTACCAGGGAAAATAGTGTTAAAAGGAAAGAACTGAACAATATCCATTTTGTCCCTAACAAAAACATATAGCTGTGCTCCAAACCTAGACAATCATGACAACACATATGGGTGCTAATCACAGGGGGGACCTCAGGAAGGTACATATAAGCTCTTGTCTCTCAGTAATACTGAACACTGCATGAATGCTTTTGTCTTTTTGATTAATTAAAACTTAATGAAGATCTAGTTAACACGATACTTATAGTGTTTTTCCTTTCTGAGTTTCATTGTTGTAAGACAAATCCCAAAAGGTTGACATCAGATACGTAACATTGTCGTCTACATCACCTCAGAAGAAAGAAGTACTTATTTAAAATGCAACCTCAAACAGGGCATTATTAGTACTCTAAAATATTTTTATTTTTCTTACTTCAACTTCAGCAACAGAAACTTTCTTCCCAAAAAAAAAGCACTATATCTGCGAAAGGGATTTAAAAACATATTTAAAAGCCAAAGTAATGGAACAATTATGCTTTCACGTTATACAAGTGTACATTTTATTTGCATCCTTGTTTTTTCAAACACTTTTAATAACAGAAAATGTTGAAAAAAACAGTCCAAAAGACTTGCACAGTACTCTCCCTGAATACAACTCAACAGCTTCTCAATGTTATAAATTAATTTGGTGTTGACTGACTTACTGTGTAAATGTATGGTACCATGCCACCAGCCAGCTCATGGTGAGATTCTCTGAGGGCGCAACAACAATTCAAAGCCATAGTGGAAAAAATGGCATTTGGAAACCAACAAAACAAATCTAAAACCTGAATCCCTCCTTAACTTGTCTGAAGAGCTAGACAAAAAAAATGCCTGTAAAGTTGATAATTTAATGTTGAGAGATCTAGTTCAGTATTTTCCTCACATTACTTAAACAAATAAAACCCACACAATTAAAAGCAGCCAGAGTTTCAAGTCAGTGAACCATTTCTAGAGCCCTGAATGGGGTGTATGGGCACATTGCCAATGAACAAAGGGTAAAACTTAAAAGCAACATACTTTTCCTCCTTTCTCTCTCTTTCAGCTGTCAGAGACTTTGCTGTTATTTTTACGAGCAGTCAATACAGTGATTTCAGAATGGAGCTTTTTTTCCTTTTCTTTTGCTTAGCTTGACAGGGGCATTTTTATATATTTTTCATAGGTATCCTATTATTTCTAAGTAATTCAGCTTATAATGTAAAGCCTCTCTGTCACAAGCAACAACTTGGTCCAAAATGCTGGCAATTCTGTAAGAATAGTAGCAACAGCAAAAAGTAAGAGTGGAAAATTCCAGGTTCACAAGTTCTTGGAAAGCATTTCCTAGTATAAAACAAAAATAAAAACGTAACAAACATAAACTGTATTAGCAAGATTGTCCCAAAGAAAAGTATAATTTCCTGGGCAGTGTGAGGGAGTACTTACAACTCTCACCGGGCTCTACAAAAGAAAGGAAGTTTGGAATTAAGGCTCATTACAGGGGCCTGATCGCCTCCAATACATGTGCATTACTTTTATTAACATGTGGGGAGGGAGAGCAGGATCCCCATAAGCACCTCCACACAACAAGTTTGCCGTTTCTTGTCAGGGCTGTGAACAACTGCTGTCATAGATATTATATTCTTTAAAGCAGGGAAAAAAAAGTTATTCGGTGGTATTCTGCTTAGATAGTTTATTTTCTGTATCCTGCATTTCTGCCCCTTTTTATCTAGTGATTGATTGATTGCTCAGTACAATCACCAGATGCCACCAGTATGCTGGGTTTCCCAAAGTAAGAAAACTGTTTTCCCTCCAAAATTATCTACAATTAAATCCAGACATGAAGGAAAGCATATCCTGAAACCCAGTTGTGCTGAAGAGCGTAAGAAATTCTCTCCAAAACAACCTTGCACAGTTCCATCAAGAGCCAGCAGCCTTTGAGTAAAGCAAGGGTACAGAGGAAGAGGACATGGAAGTCAAAAAATTTACACCGGATCTATACTAGTGCTCTTACCTGCATTAGGTCAAGATGAGAATTTAACTGTTGTACACTTCAAGTATTAGGGGAAATGCTGAACAACAGTATTGGTTGCATGATACAAGTCCTGCTGCAAGGACTTCTGTGGTCTATCAAAAGTTCATTATAGGAGATTTGTCAAGATCATGTATTTTTGCAGGCAGAATACTAAAACAAAAAAATCCACCACACTGAACAACAGCCCCACCAAGAGCAATGTGTACCACTTCTGCTGCACTAACACAGAACTCAAAGGCCGGGCACCCACAAGACAACTTGCCATTGCTCTTGCTGACCTCAGAGGGCTTCTTCCTCCTCCTAGAGGCTTATCTTGCACCAAATCTGGCACTTCTTGGTCCTCCCCATAAGCCAGATTAACTCACTAATCTGACAGGAAACAAACGCAGTTTAGAAAAGAGGTGGGGATAAGAGGAAGAGGAAACAGGGATAGATTTTTGTTTTTCCAGGGAGCTAAATCAGCTCACAGAAAGCTTCAATGA